GTAAAGGATATTTCTGATGTTTGGTTATCTTAACAACCCCAAAGACCATGTAATGACAATCAGGAAACCAGCTCCAAGAAACATCATTGCAGTGGGAGGTGGCACACACAACCCTAGCGGGCGTCATTGCAGAGGCAACGCTGACCTGGGTGGTATGAGGTTCTGCCTCCTTGTATCGCCTGGGGCTCGGGCTTTTATATTAGTAAAAATGCATGCTCATTCTGATGTAGGGAGCCAGCCTACTTCAGAAGAAGTGGCCAGCTATATCTACAAAGGTCTCCCAGGGTCACAACTTTTTGGGGAGGAGCCAAAGCGGGACCTTCCAGGGAGGAGCCAAAGCAGGACCTTCTGGCAGAAAATGAACTTTCTGTGACCTCTATGAGAAAGATAGATTTTTTTTTACTTTTTTTATTTATTTATTTTCTTCATAGCAGCTGGTATGGGGCTGAGTTTTGGATTTGTGCTGGAAACAGTGTTGACAACACAGGGATGTTTTTGTTACTGCTCAGCAGCGCTTACACAGAGACAAATAATATTTTGCAAAATGGCTGCAAAACGGAGCCCTTTACAGAGGCCCCATAGGAGAGACTTCTCCATGACCATATACTCTCCAAAATATTTGGGAAAAAAAACTTGAAGAAAAACAAGTGACAGATGTCTATATCTCTGCTCTTTTCCACTCAAAACAGATGATTTCCCAGATGCTTACAATTTAAGTCTTATTTTTAAGATAAATTTAGCACATTTATTCTTCCTTCATTGTCCAGGGTTCAGCAGTAGCAGTCATTTTTCTCCTTCTTCGTAGCTGGTGCAGTGCTGTGGTTTTGACTCTCAGCCTGACAACAATGCTGGTAACACTGATGTTTTTAGTTACTGCTCAAATGTTTAGTCTGACCAAGGACTTTCTGAGCCCTATGCTCTGCCAGGGAGGAGGGGAAGCTGGGAGGAAGCAGAGACAGGACACCTGACTCGAACTAGCCAGAGGTATTCAATACCACAACACATCATGCCCAGGATGTAACTGAGAGTTAACCAGAAGGGCTAGATCACTGCTCGGTAGGGCTGGGTATCGGTGGGTGGTATTGTATTCTCTTCCCTTGTTATTTCCCTTATCATTATTATTATTGATGGTAGCAGTAGTGATTTGTGTTATACCTTAGTTACTGGACTGTTCTTATCTCAACCTGTGGGAGTTACATTCTTTCAACTCTCCTTCCCATGCCTCCAGGAGCAGGGGGAGGAAAAGGAGGAAGGAGTAGACTGCGTAGTTCTGATTTATGGCCTGGGGTTAAACCCTGACATTCATAAATAATTTTTTAAATCTTTGAAATAAAAAAGATAAGAGGGGAAAAATGCTTCATGCTTACCAGTAGACATTTATGTGCAATCACACAGATTTTTTTGTGATAGATGCTAAAAATGTGAAAACTAACACAAGTCATCCTTCAGATTACAGTTAAATCCTCTGGTTGACAAAAACAGCTACAGAACTTTCTAATTTCTCATTAAATTATTTTACAGTATATTTAATTTTTTTTTAAAAGATGCGTAACTTAAGTATGAAAAACTATATTGCTGCAGTATGATATTTAGTATATGCAGCAGACAGGATAGGGCTACCTCAAGTCAACAGACAAAAATTCTTCCACTAATCTTTACATCAATGTGCCACAGTTTATTTGCCCAAACATGTAAGACAAAACAATGATACTTAAATAAATAAAAATGTAGCCATTAATTGTGTTCACATCCAAAGTTTTTTTAGCTTCCCTGATCAAGGTCAAGGATAATTTCATGAGCTCTATTCAGATCTCCTGCATCCAGATTAAGTCACTAAGCCAAAAAAATCGAAGCCAAAATCCTCACTGAAGCAGAGAGCAGCATTACATGGCCAAAAGCCCAAAGGGGCTGTTACAAGGCTGGCATGTTCTTTCATTCTGGGCTGTTACAACACAGTTCCCATATGTATCTATCATACTAAAAATTGGTATCAGAAGAATTATATCAGAATAAAACTTGATCATATGCCTTAATGACCAAGTACTGTCTTTTAAGACAGAATAATAAAACATAAAAGACCTGATAAGAAGTTCAATAGCACCTTAGCATGAAATCAGCATTACAACTATGATAAGTATTTTTGATGTTGACAAGGCTATCCTAACTTTTGAAGAAGTAATACTGAAAGAACTGTTTTCCGTAATCCCCATCTTTCAACTTTATAGACTAAGCTGATATACGGGTAAAAGTAATTTAATTATCTGTGTAGCTCTAAAACACTTCTAAGATCTTCAGAATAAAATAAAAATATTTCACTATAAATGCTAAACTGTAAAAATGGAAGAGTAACTTCACTTAACTTCTCTGCTTTACAGTCAAATCAGTCCAAACTGCTATGGTTACAAGAGTTACCTATTTTAAGTATGTTGCTGCTGAAAGCAACTTGAGTAGTATTTCCTCCCCCTCTCCCATTTGTCTGTCCTTATCATTGTTTTCACATTATTTCATGTTTTTCTTAGTTATGTATATTTCACATTCTTTCTCAAGTATTGTGGCATTAAAACATACTTCAAAGTATTTTGAATTACTAGAATATAAAAATGTATGCAGCCAATCAGCTTACTATTATAAAAAGAAATGTGAACTCAAGGCAAACTAAATTAAATCAAGACTAAACTGATGGATTTTTAAAAGGTGTATTTCATGTTAATGATGTCAATATATCCTAAAGCAGTCAGGCCACCCCTGTATTGTGCCCAAGAGCATCCTGTCTCAACCAGCTGCCAGCAGACTCCATCACACATTGCACTCTGAGCGCAGACGAAGACTGTCCTGGCTAGACCCACCATATACAAGCTTCAGGTATTTGCCTTCTTCCTCTTATCCTGAGCATCATTCTGTCTCGGCCAACAAAACTCACACTATGACACACATCAACTGTCTCATCCTGCAAACATCTTAAAGTTGTACTCTTTTCATTAAAATTAGGGTGAAATTACACTCTTCCTTTTGCAAACGTTAGTTTATACAATTTCTCTGCTTCCTCTCTATGCTCTGTTCCTCTTGTTTTCTTCCTTGTAAGATACATCCCTCTGTTTTGCGATGGGAATTCTGTGGGGTTCAAGCCCATATGAATATAAGAAGCCTAGCTTCTTAAATTCTTGGCATATAAAGTTCAGCCTGGGGAAAGTCACTGCTTGGTATTGGATTTAGTCTTGTACAAAAATAATTGTGGAGATTTCTCTCCTACCTCTTTTCATAGTTGTTGGCACAAAATACCACACACAGCAGTTTTGCATGTTCAGCTCATTGGCATGTTCAACCATCAAAGTCTTTCCCAACTTAAAAAGAGCCTGTTAGGAGCTGTAATGACTAACATTCAGAAACCTTACAAATAAAGTAAGGCACAAGCAGACCTACTTTGTCCAAGCATGGTACTAAAACTATTTTTCTTTTATCTTTCAGCAGTGATTCTTCTTCAGCCAAAAAGATATTAAAGAAAACAACAATTAAAAAAAAATGGTCATTTTGATAAGAAAACAAAAATCACAAGATACTGCATGATTAATTTGTTTTCGAGGCATAATCCTTGAAAAAATATAGCTGGCAACAGTAGAAATTGGGATTAAGAAAAAAACAACAAAAAACAACCCCAAACACTTCTAATGAGAATTTTATTTCAATTATCTTAAAGAGAAACAATTAAACTAATACGCAAGAATTGACACAAGAGTTCCAGGAGTTACGAGCTTGAATCATCTAAACCATAAACCAATTAAGAATTTATAACAAGAAGGCAATATTTACTGAGGCACTGGTCTAAAAATCAATACTGTTGGCATTATGAGAAATCCAAAAGTACTGTTCAACTCAACTGATTGAATACTAACATTCTGAATACTAAAATTATTTTTGCTGTAAGCAGAGGAACAAACATTAGCACCAGCACATGAGTACTGTGTAGAAAAGGAGGGAGAAGATTTTTTGTGTGTGACAAGTTGTATACTATGAAATATGCAAAAGATACAATCATTTTTCATTTAAAATGAAAGCCATTTTTCTCATTCCTTCTGCCACGGCTCTACCAACTTTCGGGTATGGCTTGGAAGGCCCCATGGAAATGCCTGCCAAGGTTCAGTTTGGCTTACTATTGGGAAAGATTTATTCATTGTGAAGAAATACAAGACTACCGCTTTTCTTATTACCAACTGTCTTTGTAAAGCTAAGCTGGGCTGTTAGTTTTCCCTGTGCATTTTGAAAAGTGTGCTCCTCCAGGGAATTTATGTGTGTGTGTTATGCTTACAGTACAGTGTTTGTGCTCACATGTTGATCTTGCAGTCCTTTTCTTCTTTTTCTGTTCTTATTTAAAACAGTTGTGTACTATGTGAATAAAATTCAAACTGTCTCATCCTGTATTTTAAATAGAAAACTAGTCTCTCAATATAACCATGGCAGATTTATGCCTTTATCAGAAAACCTGGGATTTAACATTTCATTTGGTTCACAGAGTAAAAACTCCAATTTGAGTAGTGAGATTATCCAGTTCCCCAAAGCCATACCAAACGATTCATTGCTGAGGTGTTGAATACATACGTACACTTATACAGTAGAAACTATTATATTTAACACACACCAGCAGAAAAACAAAGGTGAAAACTGACTTCAAAAGCTCTGTGCTTATCAGGATGATGCTGCAAAACTGACCACTGTTTGATCCCCACCACGCAACACGTCAGGGTAAAATACCAGAGTGTTTCGGGCTGAAAGGAGGCAAAGAGAGAGAACCATCAGCTGCTTCATAACCATCCTTCACAAAAGTCTTAAGACGATTTCAAGTGAATTACAGACCACGTTAATCCCAGCTTCACGCCTGACTGCTTCAGTGACCACCATAACGGATAAGAATAGATTGGCAAGGTGTCTGCTGACACAGGACCCGAGCATGGAGCAGGTGCCTCCAGTCCCCCTTACACTCAGTGGTATTCAGAAATAGCACAAACCTCTGATTTCTGTGTCTCTTGATGTTCCATGTACTGGCCAAGGATTTGACCCTAAACAAATAAGAAAAAGGGAATGCTGTAATACACACTGAAAAAAGCCAACCTCCCTTCAAAAAAGTAATAAATCCCAAAACAAATAAAAAGTCCTCCCCGTTAAAAAGAAACAGGAAAAAAAGAAAGAAAAAAATGAAGAAAAAAGGAAGGTAAAAAGAAGAAAAAAAAAGAGGGAAAAATAAAAAAGGAAGAAAAAAGAAAACAAGAAGGAGAAAACGGAGTAAACAAAGAAGAAGGAGAAAACAAAAAAGAAGGAGGAAACAAAGAATGAGTGTCCTGGGTTCAGCAGTAGCAGTCATTTTTCTCCTTCTTAGTAGCTGGTGCAGTACTGTGTTTTTTGACTCTCAGCCTGGGAACAATGCTGATAACACCAATATTTTTAGTTGCTGCTCAGTAATGTTTCCTCTGGCCAAGGACTTTCTCAGTCTCATGCTCTGCCAGGAAGGAGGGGAAGCTGGGAGGAAGCAGAGACAGGACACTTGACCCAAACTAGCTAAACAGGTATTCTATACCACAGCACATCATGCCCAGGATGTAGAACTGGGGGCAGTTACCCAGGAGGGCTAGATCACTGCTCGGGTCGGGCTGGGTATCGGTCAGTGGGTGGTGAGTGGTTGTATTCTCTTCCCTTGTTATTTCCCTTATCATTATTACTATTGGTGGTAGCAGTAGTGGTTTGTGTTATACCTTAGTTACTGGACTGTTCTTATCTGAACCCGTGGGAGTTACATTCTTTTGATTATCCTCCCCATCCCTCTGGGAGCAGGGGGAGGAAGGGGAGGGAGTGAGCGAGCAGCTGCATGGTTCTGGATTACTGGCTGGGCTTAAACCACAATAAGAAATAAAAGAAAAAAAGAGAGAAAAAGAGAAAAAAAAAAAAGGCGCTTTTAAGAAAAAAAAACAAAACAAACCCTGAAATCCAGTCAATGAAGGTCAGGTCAACACAAATATAGAGAAAATATGCTGCTGAGTTTATACAGAGTATCCAAGTATCCAAGCTTTGAGATTGTTTTCAATGTCTTAAAAAAAAAATAAAAATTGTATTTTCAAAGGATCCACACAATAGTTACAGACACTTCCATAGTTCAGTAGTTACAATGTTTAATCCCATCAGGAGGACCGCATGGTTTGCAACAAAAAAGAGCTTCGTAAAGTTGGTAAAACAACTGAAATAAAACTATTTTGTAAAACTAAATTTTTCACGATTTCACATGTGTGATTTGGGGAGCAGTTACCAATTTTATTCACTTCTACATTCACTAATAAACCTGAGTTCATCTACATGACATACTGGAAAGACAAATTTAAGTCTATTCCAGAAAATCTCACCTTGGAATTGAGCAGCCTTATCCAATTCATCCTTGAGATGGGGCTGAAGGATGTAGTGCACCCCACAGGCATCATGCATTTTAGAGAAAACACACATTCCTTTTACTTCTGTACCCTTGCCATGGTCTTCCAAGGAAACCAAGCATCAGACAAGTTTCCAAAAGATGTTTAATGACCTCAATTATTACTATTTTTAAAAATAAATATTGACTCAAACATTTCTCCTCAGGACACTGGTCCAAGGCAATGCAACACAAGCATGGGGATATAATACTGTAGGTCACAGCCAAAGTTAAAAGCGTAAGTGTAAGGAAGAAGAGGGGGGGAGAAAAAAAAGCAAGTACCAAGAGTCTGGCCAACCGCTCATAAAGAACAACTTTGCTCATGTATTTAGAGTCACTCTCGGGTAGAAATAGCAAAGCATTTGCATGAGAGCTGAGATGCGATTAATGAAGCTACTGTCTACCACAGAACCCCTGGAAGGAACCAGGGTTGAGATTCCTGGCAGGGTAACTCAGGATCTGCCAGAAGCTGCAGGATTCAGATGAATCAGACCCTCAAACAAATGTCCAAGTGGCAGAAAAAAAGAGAAAAATTCTGCAATGTGAATGCCACCCTGCTTGTGCAACTAACTACACTGAAATAAATTTTAATAGCCACAGGATATTTTAGTGGTTTTTTAAAAGCAGCTGTGAAGAGCAACATCTGTTTCCTAAAAATACAGCCCATCTCTTCAGCAGAGCTCTCCACCACTAGGTCACAAACCACTGTGCATACATTCAGTATCTATCCCTCAGCTCAAGAGACTGATAGTAGCAGACTTGTGGGAGGATACAACTTGTCCAATGCCAAACAAAATGACATGAAAAGGATACAAAACAAAGACACATGGGAAGTTATTATGAATAAAAAAAAATTATTAGTGACTAAAATAATACAACTTATTGCTGCTAGCCTTATAGTCAACAGCCTTCTCTAGGAATTTTTAATTACAACCTTTCCTACAATGGAAATATGCAAACTGAGTCAATAAAATTACATAAGTAAGGAAAATACCAAATTTTCTTGCAAAATATTACTTTTTTATTACTAATGCACTTGTGTCACAGACCTTGTCTACTTTCTTGAAAAAGCAAACAAATTAATATAGAGAGTGCTTGCCTGCTTACTCAGAATAAGAATAAACAGCCCTCCTGGATATGAACCAAACCAAGCACTGCATCTGTGAAGGTATTACTGGCACATATTCATAATATGAGGCACTGACTGGCCACGCAGAATAGACAAGAATAAATTATGTCCACATAGAACTGGAATTTTAGGTCTTCAGACTTAAAAAAAAACTCCACAGTATCACAGTAAAAGGTGCTTTATTTTGTGACATAATTTTGTGACACAGCATTACAACCATTAGGTAGGTTACACTATTATAAAATAATTCCAATATAATATGTTTATCTCCCTGAAATTGTCTTTGTAGATAGTCTCCTAGTAAAATATTTTTTGCAATAAAGTAATTTAGCAGGAGACAAATTGCTTTGCTCCCATTACAGTTTCTTCTTTACCTATTTTATTTTTGCCTTGACAATGTATTTTAAAGGCAGTAAAGCAGAAAGCAGTAAAAGAAGCAGCAATGAAGGAAGAGACACACAAAGTGATCCTTAATGGATCGTCAGCTCATGAAGGCAATTCACAAGCTGGAGCAAAATTAGTTCTATGCACAAAAGAAATCAATACTCATTATAGCATCCTTCCTGCTACACTGCAATTTATCAGCTAAGGAGAATACTGTCACATTTCATAGGCCTCAGAAAACTAGCTGCTCACAGAAGCAGTATTTATTCTCTGCAAGTTTCACCCCAGCTGAATTGGAACCATGTACAGCACTCGCTGGCTGACTCCTCAAAGAACAAGGCAGCTTCTTAGCAACCAACACCAAGGAGGTGCCTCTATAATCTGCGCTGGAGAGCCACACGTGATGCAAAACACCCCTGGAGTGCTATCACTTTTACTGCTGCTAATGTCCATTTAGTTACCAGATCAGTAGTTACACAAGTAAATATACCATAACTTTAATTATTTAACTTAAAACTAGGTACATATTAAAAGAACCTGAAGTTTGCACCATGCAATGTGTTTTAAAGATCCTAAGGTCCTTTTCAACCCTAATCATTCTATGATTCTATGATTAAAGACAGCCAGTAAAACAGGAAACAGTTCCTTAAAAAAAAAATAAATAAATAAACAAGGGACCATTCATATATTTACTTTTATGAATCTAAACATTTTGGAAGTTGGAAAGAACAGTAAGAATTTTGTCCTGGGCAACACTCATAGTAATAATAACACTACTACATCTAGCCTTGAAATGAGTAAATACTTCCCAAGTCCTAAAATTTGTCCTCACTTACTCACAAGCCCAATTTATTAACCTGAAAATTTTCAAATGCAATTCAGCTTCAGAGGCATATAGCCCTGCAAACCTATTAATGTGGCTGGAATAAATAAGACTACAGAACTGAGCAATACAAAGGTCACAAACTCACCGTTTCCCTAATGGAGAATATTCCTGCATTTCAGATTATCTGAAGTCCTTTAATGAAACATAATGGCACTAAATACAATAACCTCCCCATTAAAGAAGGGCTCACATCAATTCACTGCTGTAAGAAGCATCCTCAGCGCAGGCTTCGGTGGGGTGCAAGTGGTGCCAGTGATTTGCAGTGATGCAAATCAGGACTGAGAGGGCAGATACCATTTTCCTGGAAAGCAATGAATGATGCTGAACCACCTGCTCTTCCATGGGGCAGACCAGAAGATTGTTCAAAATTGTGGATAAGTGTTTTGAGATTGGTTTTGAGTTGCTCAGAGTTCGAACTATAAGTTTTCAATTGATAACTTGAAATCTTGCTCCTGGGAAGTTTTAGGGTGCCTGTTCCCCTTCCTCCAAACTGCATGGACAGTATTTAAGACACTTTTGGCACAGGCACAATAACTACATTGTCCATTTCACTGATAGCTTCATAGGAAAAAGTAGCATGAAGAAAAGAACTGAAATGGAAAGAGAAGCACACCATTCTGTTTCATCCGGCTCCTCTATGCACACAAAGCAGCCTGGATATTTGTCAGACATTAAAATATGGGCAGTAATGACAAGATCAGCTCTTGAAGACCTGCTCACTTCCCCAAAAAGGTAACATTTACTGCTTCTTCTGAAAATAATACAATCAACTCAAAGGTAATCACTCAAAACCACAGTCATTTTGTGCTTCCCAATGGCAGCTATAAAATTCCACAGCCAAAAACTCCAATCTTAATTGTAAATATCCGTGACAGTATAACAAAACCACTCTTTCAATTGTGTATTGTCATTGGCACACAGGAAATCCCATAAAATATATATTTATTAAAAAAAAAGAACAACTAACAAACCCACTCAAATGCATTTTCAGAAAAAAAAGCCTTTTTTTTTTTTTTATCTTTCTCCTCCTTTTTATTAGCAACAGCAGTACCAAACCATGATGCAGAACTGAGGAGTAATAGTGAAGCTATATGTTTTAAAGCCTTTCCCCTAACCAAACAGGCATATTCCACAGCAGATGTTCTTTTACCAACAGCTTGCCTCCCTTTTGCTAAGAATGGGGAGATTTCGGTAAGAAGATTTAAGA